ATTGCAATATTTTACAGACGGAACCAAGGCCTGAGATCTAAGATACTACACAAGGACGTCTGCAAAGTGCAGTTTTTCCCTCCCTTGTTGAATGGAGTAATCGGAATGGTGAGAATCCACTAAAGAACACGATCTTTATTTTGGTTAAGGTAATAATGAGCTGTTCTTATGCAAACAGCCAAAGGGTTCGCCAGCTTCTTTTGGGCCAATTCTGACATCTGGCCATGTCAGCAAGCCAGCCAGTAAGACTTCTTAGAAAAGCAAAACAAAACAAAACAAAAAAACCCCCAGGTATTCATGTCAAAGATTTATTAAGCTATTGAACCTTTTCTATTCATTCCGTTCAGGACCAAAAATTAACCCATCCATTTGATCCTTCATGGCCCTACTCTCATCTTTTTTCAAGGAGACTCCTCTGGTTCTCCCATTGAGAAGTACGTAATGCCCCTTTTAACGGCTGTGTTGTGAAAGTGCAGGTTCTGACTCAGTGGGCTTGCGGTGGTGATGCTGAAAGCAGCTCGCAGGTGATGCAGGTGCCTCGGCTCACAACCACACTACTGCGTAGCAAGGTCTTTAACCCACTTGTACAAATACTTTAGGGTATCTCTCACTTTCCTTTTGGAACTGTAATTATTTACATACACATACCATTCACCAATTATAAATTTCTTGGAAGCATGATAATGAATCTCAAATATCTTTTTCTCTTTAATAGCAGATAGCTAACAGGCATCCAAGTAACAGGAGGAAAGGAAAGAATAATACCAATACAATAAAGTTCCTATGGGCCTGGACAGCAGTGTGGTGACTGCAGGGGGGTAGGAGGTATAAAGGGACTAAACGGTAATGGGAAAAAATATACAATAAAAAAAAAAGTAAACAAAATAATAAAATAAAAAGTAAAGTTCCTGTAGCCTGGGTCACAGTCCATCTGTAGTAAGGAAAGGTAGGCTAAAGATCAATAAATGCTGTGAAAAGTCCAACTGTTTTCAACCACTTTCTTGGTTAGATGAAACAGAGCACAGCGATTGTCAATATCAAGAAAGCTGTAACCAGAGCATGCAATTCTTTACACTGGATAACAGGGTGAGGGGGTACAGATCTGCAACCTGGTGAAAAGGCTAGCAGATTTTTTTGAGGAAATACCCAATTAAATAGTAAGTCTATTAGCCCTGCCTGCTGTAGCTCAGTGGATTGAGTGCCAGCCTGCAAACCAGAGGGTCACCAGTTTGATCCCCAGCTGGGTCACAGGCCTGGGTTAAAGGCCAGATCCTCAGTAGGGGGTGCTCAAGAGACAACCACACAAGGATGTATCTCTCCCTCTTTTTCTCCCTTCTTCTCTCTAAAAATAATAAATAAAATCTTTTTAAAAATAATATATTAATTAAGGAAGTTAGAGGAATATCCTTTTTGAAAAACAAGATAGACTACACAAAGAATCAATGAATCATCAAATCCAATGTGCTTATAAAAAATTTAGTTAGGTGATTTATCCTAGGTTACAATGTTAAGTATATGGAAAACTTGGAGCTTGTACATAGATTTAGTCCAGTATTCTTTACTCTATGCTACCTCTTGAATGGATACTAAATGAATAAACAAAGTAGTAACACTTTCCATCGTTCTTAGATTGTAGTTTATGAGTACATCTATTCTGAATTACTGGAGGAAGTAAACATTTTTTTAAAGGGACAAATAACGTGAACACTTACAACATTACATACACATAGAGAAATATAAATGGTTAATAAAATATGAAATAATATTATCTTTGGTTGCAATAAAAAATGTAAATTTAAATCAGATACCATTTTGGTCTACTAAATTGGCACACGTTACAAAAACACCCACACATTGGTACAACTTTTCAGAAGAGAAATTTGGTACAATGTATCAGAAATACTAAAAAACAGATATAGCATAGGATCCAAGAAATATAATTCTATAAAAGTTACCTGAGGATGTATTTGGAGATTTGTAGTAAATATCACTGTATGTGTATCTTTTGTACACTTTTTATAATTTTATATTTATGCCCAGGGAAAAAATGATCACAATGAACTTTTTAAGCATAGAGTGATATTCCAAAATGCCTTTGAGATAAGAGAAAACTACTTGCCTACAAAAAGTTTAGGATTACATGTTTCAGTTGTTGAATTAGAACACCACTATGTCTGGATAGATCTAGTTCTTTAGGGCTGAGATATAGTTTGCCTGAAAAAAATTATAGTAAGAGAATACATGGTTTTTTAGAACAAGACATTTCATGATAAAATGATGACCTTGAGTATTCAATGCCTGCATATGGGAGAGAATACACAAATGTAGAGGGAAAGTGAGGGATAAGGAAAAAAACACAATGGGGGAGATGAAGAACATATTTTCAGACAGATAAGATACTAAGTAGGTAAATTCTATTACTAGAACAGAATTACCAGTGTGATAAGTAATTCAAATTATGGTTAGACAGATGTTTCAAAGTATCTGCTAACTGATACATATTATTAAAATTATTTTGGTAAACAATGTGTTCAAATTGAGTCTACCTTGTCTTGTTATTCTGGTTTATTAAACCTTTTCTTGGGCTTTATTTTTATAGCCCATAAATCTTTATAGATATTCTCTAAAGTGTTTTTAAATTTCTATTTCTCTATCTTTACTTAGGTAAACATATAAAATGTTAATTAGATTTTAGCATGGGCAGTAAAAAAATTCCTACTTTTTTATCTTTAACTAGATTTGTAGGTTTTCTATAAAAAGTGTGAGTTATTTCAAAATAAATCCTTTCTCCCTCTTAAACTTGGCTCTGTAATCAAACATACCATTCCAAAAAAGTGCATTTGATGTAATTTTCTATTCAGTATCAACTATTCTTTCCAGTTTTAAGATTTTTTTCCCCTTTGTATTTTTTTCCCCAGTAACCTGAAAGTAATTTCTGGCAGACAACTCCGTTCCAGGCCATTTTATTGATAAAGAAAAGAACATTATCTAGTGTCCTTAAAGAGAGAGTGGTCTCTAATAACAGTGAGTATTAATTCAGTACTTCCAGAAGGAAAAGAGAACCACAGTGTATAATGAAATTACCAAAAACTAACTATATACTGAATATTTTCTTATATACCAGAGTCATTCATTGCTGTATATAAGTGGCAATAGGACACTTCCTCATTTACTACCATGTTTATATACAATTTTTAGTTCTCAAAAATACTTTGACATCCCATTTAATTTTTTTGTGGGTTTTTTTTTCCTCTGAAGGTTCAAGTACTGTATATAGTTTTTTTTAAATGTGACTTGCAAATCACAGAGGTAAGAGAGTAGGGGAAAGGAGGGGGGGAGAGAGAGAGAGAGGGAGAGATCTGAGACAGAGAGACAAAGACATAGACAGAGAGAAAAACTAGTTTAAACACAGTATTAAGATTTTTATGGACTATGGTGGAATAAGCATTTTAAGTCAAGAGACCTGATTCAAGTCTCAGTACTGCTGATAACCAAGTATATGACTTCCTCTTTGTCACTTAATCATGGTTCCTAAATTGTAAAGAAAATGATTTTGACTTAATGTCCATTTTAAATTTGGCTTTTAAAAAAACCTACAACTAAAGTTTATTCAAATATTGTATTATAATAACAGCTCAATTAAAGGTATGTCGTTTTTTTTTTTTACAGAGTTAGTCCTTCACTTTTGTCTCAACTTGACCCGCAGCCTGAATTACTTAGGTTGCACATCCAAGACGTACTTTGGAGAAAAAGAGTGTGGGGAAAGATTCCTTCCTAAGATGGGATGGACCTGAGCAGGTGAGGGAGTTAAGGAATGAGTGCATATGTATGCCAAAAAAAAAAAAAAAAAAAAAAAAAAGTGATTATTCCCAAATCAGGAGCACTGAAGAACTCTGCTTAACTTTGGGGCAGGGGGCTGTAACAAAAATTGAGAGGGCGTTGAGCTGAGACTTTCAGGTAATAACAGACTCCACCTTAATGCCTTCAGTGGACATCAAACCAATCTTCAGTTCCGGGTTCCCAACCAATCATATCAAGCCACAACAGAGGGCTCTTCCAACCCGGGCACCGTTTCAAGACTCCAGAGTGAGATTCACACGACCCCAGCACCTGTCGGCCTCACACACTTTCCAAAAGGAGGTGATGAAAGGGAACTGTAGTAGGTCTATCCCCGGTCCTTTTCGATTCAGGCTACCACCAGGTGCAGGAGCCCTCGAGACCGAGACTACCTCCGTACTCCAGGGACCCGGGGGGCGCGTCGCTGGGACCCTCCCACGTATTCTTTCTCCAGGACCAATTCTCCTGTTTACAGGTCTCAAGCTCCTACCGTGGTTTCTCAGGCCTCGGGAACCCCAGGCCTGGAAAGGGGACAGACGGATGCCGAGAGTGAAGGCAGCGGGGGAGGGTGCATTCCTCACCACGGGAGAGAAAGATAAAGCAGGGTAGGGGCAGCTGTGTTCCCCCTTGGCGACGGCGGGAGGCCGTCCCTGCCGTCTGTCGAAGGGTCTGTCATTCCTTCACTCACCAGGAGCAGCAGGGAGCATCTCAGGTCGGGTAAGGATAGGAAGACGACAGGATTCATGATAACGCTGGGATCCGCGGCAGGGACAGGCGTTGGCTGCTGGGAATGGGTAGGGTTGGACTGGGTTAGGAAAGGGCTGGGCTCCGGGAGCCGGCGGCAGCGGAGGATTCTCCGGCAGCTACACCCCGTCCTCTCGACCCGGAGCTCCAGCGGCGAACACCCTGGACAACTTCCAGAGAGGCCTCTCAACCCTCACTTCCGGGTCCTGCCCACCTCTAAGCACATTGGGAAATGTAGTCCTGCACCACTCAACTGAGCCCATCATCGGGCATCCAGAACTCCTTTCCCATCAGGCTCTTGGCCCACGTCCACCGAGTTTTCTGCGCGCGAGGCCCTGTGGGATAAAAAGGGCAAAGAACGGGTGTACCTCTGTATTTGAGGGGAATAGGAACTACAATTCCCAGAGGGCTGTGTGGTCCAGAGTCTCCGGCGGCCCTCTGAGGGGCTTAGTTAGTTTCAGCGCGGTGGGGTCTGCCCCAGCCGGATGTAGTGTACTGTCCTGGCGGGAGGGGCGGCCCAGTGGGGGTCGTGCCTCCTGGAGCCGCCCCTGGGACGTGAGTCCTGGAGGAGGCAAGGGTGAGTAGGAGGGTGCCTGGCTGGGGAAGCTCCAATCGATCTGCACTGCCTTGGCCCCTGCCTCAGGCTCCCGGCCCTCCTGGCCTGGGCTGTGGCCTGAGCCTCCGTCATTGGCCTCCCCGCCTGCTGCCTTTTCTTTCTGCGCTAATTCCTGCATTGTAAAGTCGGAGCCACTTCTCAGGGCCCCGGATGAATAAGTAAATGACTTGTCCCTAATTGTCTCTGTGGGCTCGTATAAGGAGTACTTATGAGATAGGATGGGAAAGCGCGTTGTAAACTGGAGAGCTCAAGTGTGCGAATGACGGCTCGTAATGCATGGATCACTGCCCACAGACAGTTACGAAATTCGTTAACCAAGCTGTTGAGGCTCTTAACCTGGTCCCAGTTACTTCTCTAGCCTCATCTGCAGACACCCGACCGGGTCACTTGCCCCAAGTGGAAGCCAAACAATCACTAATAAATATCCGGGAGGCATTCTGCGTTTTTGTGGTTCTCCCTCTGCGCCTTGGCTTTGTCCCAGCTTTCCTGCGGCCCGGAGTGGCCTTAACTCCTTCTCTATCGGAAATTTCATCTCAAATGTCAGTGTCTGAGAACTTCCCAAGCAACCAACCCCTTAGTCCTAATCAGAATTACTCGTCCTTGCTTGTGACTGACTACACCACCACTAGTTTTGTACAGTTATAATTATTACACCATTTATTACACTGGCTTGTTTTATAGTTAATAATGATGATAAGACCTTTGCATTTTATAGCACTGTATAATTAACAAACTGGTTTTGATTTTCATCTATAAATATTATTACAGAAAACAATAGTGCTAAAAAAATACATTTGAGAAAAAAAAAACCCTCAGGATTCACTTCCTCAAGTGACAAAATTAGATAGTAGCAAAACCAAGACTTTGTTAGGTTTCCTGTCTCCTAGCCTAGTTCTCTTACTGCTATACCACTGAGCTAGCTCTCTGGCAGAGGAGATAGAAATGGGGAATTTAAAGAGAATAGACACTCATGAGTATAAACTCACTACACCAAGAATTAAACTTTGATCCTGCTGGTGCTCTGGACTTAGCGCCCACACTGTGACTTTTCACTCAGCAAACATTTACTGAACACCAGCTATATATCTGTTGGTGAAATATATATAAATATATGTAAGTGAGATTAATTTTTAGTGTATTTTCAAAGAGTGTGAAGAATTTTGGGGGGCGTGTGTGATTCTCACGGACCTAAAACTGATCACTTGGAATCTGAAATGATATGTATTAGAGTTCAGAACAATACGTAGCACATAGTGGGTACTTAATTTGTTGAATGACTCAGCAAGGTCTACCTTTCCCATTTTCATACTTTACAGAAAGAGAGCTGAGGTAGCCAAAGGACACACTGCTCATTATTAATGGCAGAGCCTAGAGCCTCAGTGTAATTATTCCTCTACTGTGTAGAAACCCCTGTTTTGTGGCTTCTTTCAAGTCACTTCAATATAAGCCTGCGTATGACAGTGGTTTTTCTTACATGGCAGACGTGCTCAGACATGACAGAAGTGTCTCACAGTGCCCATGTAAAATGAAGACATGGAGTGTTGACCTTTACCGAAATTAAGAAAATGCTTTCACTGTAAGGCAGAATTTGAACCAAACATCCTTCCCAGTGACAACACAAGTACTAGCTCATCAGTAATGATAAATTTATCTTACAAAACTCCCCAGACTCTCAGGAGTCACAGAGGTTGGAATAACACTTCTTGGTAAAATCAGAGAAGGGCCTTGTCTACTCTTCCGACAGCTATTCGTTCACTGTAGCTGATCAACAGCTGCTCTCTTTAAATAGCTGTCTATGCTCCAGTTTGCCATGATCCCCATGACTCCCTGTGATTCTTACACTTTTTACTTCCCCGATCCTTACAGGCATTCAACTTTGATAGAAAATCTTATATTCAGGAAGGAAGTTTAACTTCACTGATGCAACTACCCCTCTTCCCTTCCCATCAGGTACTTGAATTCTTGCTGCATTTCTGGTACAGTCCAGCCTCTGCTTAAATGCTCACTATTTTCCTAAGCATATAATGCATTTTTCTGAAAGTTCTGACAACCATATCAGACTACCAGTCAGAACAAAACCTTCCTTAATGAAATATGGTTAATCCCAATGATGTGGTGTTCCAAGTAAGGTCCTAAGGTCAGGATCTCAAGCAAGGTATATTCCCCTGGTAAACACAAGGAGACAACAAATACAAATTCTGTCTTTTATCCTCATGAAAGAAAGAACTAGGAACTTTTTAATTTAGCACTTAAATCTGGTTAAGTCTCACCTAACAATTAGTTTACATGATACTTACTTTGTGGTTTGATCATTACTTTTATTCTCAATATCAATTCTACTGTTTAGTATTATATGGAGTCAAATTTCTTATATTAACTTAAATCAAATGTGGTTTTTGGGTCCTGTGCCTAATGTTAAATACCAAGTCTACAACCATGTTTTTCCCTTGATAGTCCCTGCGAAGGGCCTTGGGAGCATCTAACCCCTTCATCTTAAAGATGAGCAACTTATACAAAGGATCACCTAATTTGCCCCATTGTTGCAATTCTAAGACTAGGACTGCAGATTTTCTGAACCCTAATGGCGTATTCTTGTAGACTATATTTATAATGTACCCAATTACAACAGATGAGACAGGTTTCAGAAGTGTTTCCCGTGTATGTTCATGGCTTAAATCATTGTTTCAGGTTGCTTCAGTTGCTGGGAAGACTATGAACAGGTCGGAGAACTTGTTCTGTACTGGCTCCTCATTAGCATCCCAAGTTCATGCTGCTGCTATTAATGGAGATAAGGCTGCTCTTCACAGGCTCATCATAGGTAAGCAGTCTCTGTAACTACAGAAACTGTAAAAAATAATTCTTTGTCCTAAGGAAGTGTGTTAAACTTAGTTTTAATTTGCACTGTACTTACACAGTTTAATGGAAATACACTATGATTTACATTTTGTTCCAGAACTTGAACAGGAAGTAAATTAAATCCTGAGACTCAAAAATATGGATTAGAATTAGGGAGAAAGTACTTGAGAAACAACTGCATTTGGCATTGACTCTGGATATGTACACTAAAGTGCCAAGATAATTCATCTTTATAATAACAGAGATCTGGAATGAGATAGTAAGTAATGGTCTTTAACATTGAATATATATCAAGAGTACTAATGTTTACAAATAATTTAAATTATAATGATTTAAAATTGATTCAATATTCTCCCTGTCATTGATTCAATTGATTGACATTGATTCAGCGTCCTACCTAGCATATGTATAGAGATAGGTCCAACAGAGAAGTTCTAGACAGAGAACGAGGTGAAGAGGAGAGAGACAGTATTAAAAGACAAAATGAGTAAGAATTTTTCAATGTTGTAAAACCCACAGATTCACCTGTTCATAAGTCATTAGCCCTAAATAAAAGAAATAAAATAAGAATGTGTATTATTTGTGATCATTTTACACATCATGATTGACCGCTACGGTTTTTAAAATATCCACACAACTTGAACTTTCATACCTGTTCTTTCAGAATTTATTTTCACGCTACCTTTCCAGTTTCTCCAGGAGCTTCTACCCATGCGCTCTAACTTCCAGCTGGGCTTTCTGTTCCCCAGTATGCCATGAATTTTGTCTTACTTTTCTCTATGAATCTGTTTCCTCTCCTCTTTTCTACCTTCTCCCCCCTTAACCTTCTTCTATACTAAATAAGCTACGTATCTTTAAAGACAATTTTTTTTTAGCACATACTGGGAAGATTTCTTTTTTCTATTAGGAATGTTATCACCTGATAGCTCAGCTTCCTACATTCACAGTTACGCTTTGGAACTTGACATCTTCACTACCTTTGAATCATTTATTTAAACATTCCACCAGTCTGCTCACTAATGAGAATAATAGTTTTTCTCTTTTTTTTCCCCAAAATGTTTTTATTGTATTTTTTCCCCATTACCATTTAGTCCCCATGTACTGCCCCAGCCCCTGCAAATACCATACTGGTGTCTGTGTGCATGAGTCCTTTTTCCTTTTTGCTCAAGCTCTCCACCTCTTATCCTCTCTGATCCCTTAGATGTCGCTCTGCTCTCTATGAGTCTGTCTCTATTTTGCTTGTTAGTTCAGTTTGTTCATTAGATTCAACATACAATTGACATCATATGGTATTTGTCTTTCTCTGACTGGCTTATTTCGCTTAGTGTGATGTCCTCCTGGTCCATCCACGCTGTTCCAAAGGGTAAACTTTTCTTCTTTTTTATGGCTGAGTTCTATTCCGTTGTGTAAATATCTCATAGTTGTTTTATCCACTCACCTACTGATGGACACTTAGGCTGCTTTTATATCTTGGTGATTGTAAATAATGCTGCAATGAACATAGGGGTGCTTATGTTCTTTTGAATTAGTGTTTTGGGTTCCTTCGGATACACTCTCATATTCCTAGAAGTGAGATCACTGGGTTGAAAGGCAGATCCATTTTTAATTTTTTGAGGTATCTTCATACTGCTTTCCGCAGTGGCTGCACCAGTCTGCATTCCCACCAACAGTGCGAAAGGTTCCCCTTTCTCCACATCCTCACCGACACTTGTTTGTTGATTTATTGATGATAGCTAATCTGACAGGTGTGAGGTGGTATCTCATTGTGTTTTTAATTTCCATTTCTCTGATGATTAGAAAACAATAGTTTTTCAATGTCACGGAGACTTTCACAATCTATTCCTTTCCCAGTTTCAACTATCAGTCTCCATCTGTCTTTACCTTCCCCCATAATTAGCCCTGATTCCATGGTCTATTATTAAAATCCTTCTCTTGGAAAAATTAGCTTTTCTCTTCACCTTCTCTTGCTCCTGGCTGTTGGAATCCCAAGTTCCGGATGGACCTAAACCATCTACCTATGCCAACCCCTGAACAAGTTAACCTTCCGGGAAGATTGGGAACACCCTAAATTCGGGATTACTCACTTCAAATGGTCACTCAATACTCTCTGCTCATAACACCACATTTGTGCATAATGAGAGTTTCACTCTGTCAAACCTCTGACTGCCAGTTCTCCCTCCCTCCATGCTAACCTAAGACTTTATGCTTCCTGCAGAAAATGAAGACCCTACATAGGAACTCCGTCATCTTTCAGCAAGATATTTACAAATCAACCTATGTCTGCCCACATTTTCTTCTCTCTCTCTGCTAAAAAAGAGCAAATATCCCTTTCTGTCCAAGGGCAGTTCCTCCACACTTGCTGTGTATTCTATTCCTTGCTATCTTCTGATGGACCTTGCTCCATTTTTTAAAAACTCTCTGATTACTATATCTTCAACCTTTTCTTCTGCTCTAAGTCTTACCATCAACATTTAAACACATTCTGTTGTCTCCATTATTTACAAATCCCTTCCCTGTCCCTTCATTCCCCCTCTAGGTATTGCCGTACCTCTCAACTTTCCTTCCTAACTGTGTCAGTGCACAGACTAAACTGCTGTAACAGTGACTTAAATAAGATAGAAGTGCATTTCATTCTCGTAATAGTACAAAGGTAATTGGGCAGTCTAGGGTGGTAGACATTTCTACTTCACAAAATCATCCAGGGATGCTGTTAGGGCTTGTTTCTGCCATTCTCAACGTGTGGCATCCACCTCTGGGTCAAAAGCAGACACGTTGTAGTCCATAGCCCAGTCATGCAGGAGGTAGACTGAATTTAGACGCAGAACCACACTTAGGACAAAAAAAGGCAAAAAGAAAAGCCTCTCCCTGGATGGCATCATACCAAAGCTCCGGGTGCTCAATTCGTGAAAATACAAATTAGAAAACGGATATGTGGCAGTTATCACTCCCTCACCAAACCAAGCTTCTTGAGCTGTTGTACCAGTTGTCCCCACTATTTTACCACTGTTTTACTTAAAAAAACAAAAAACAAAAAAACAGTCCTGGCTGGTGTGGACTGAGTGCCGGCCTGCGAACCAAGGGTCACCGGTTTGATTTCCAGTCAGGGCACATGCCTGGGTTGCATGTCCCCATTGTAGGATGCGCGAGAGGCAACTACACGTTGATATTTCTCTCCCTCTGTTTCTCCCTCCCTCCCCTTTCTCTAAAAGTAAATAAATAAAATCTTTTTTTTAAAAATCATTCTGTGGATTTGAAATAATTCTCATAAAACAGTACATAAGACTTACATGTACAGCTTAACAAGTAAATATAAAGCAAACATCCATGTAACCACTCAACAGACAGATTGGTCCTCAGAACACCCTCCCCTCCCCCTTGGAGTAATTTGTTATCTTGACTTTTATGGTAATAATTACATTGTAGTTTTACCACCTAGGTATAGATCTTAAATACTATAGTGCTGTTGTGCTTTTTTGAAATTTTTTTTTGCTAAACCTTCCATGTTTACTTATACTGAAAATGGTGTACATATTTTTGTCATTCTCCTACTCAAAACTCTTTAATTGCTTCCCATTGTACTTGGAATAAAATTTAAAAGTGTGTCTCTACCTTTTCCCCTCTCCAACATCACCTTTCACCACTCTCTTACCAGAAGAACGTGCTTTCTTTCCATTTCTCAATCCTGCCAAGCCCTTTCCCGTCTCAGGACTTTTGCCTGAATTACTGTCCTTCCACTCTCTGTCTGACTAACACTTAGTCATCTTTCAGATCTCTGCATTCAAGTCACTTCTTCAAAGAGGCCTGCTCTAACCATCCAGCCTCAGTGAGCTTGTTCATTGTGTTCTCTGTAGTTTTCTTTCATGGAACTTGTCTCAGATCGTACCTGTATATTTACATGTATACTTACGTTTCTCTTCTATAAGCTAGTAGCCTCCGTGGGTATTGACAGTGTCTGTTGAATTCATCACTGCATCTGCGAAATTCGGCACAGTGCTTGGCACGTGGTAGGCATGTGAGAAATGTTTGTTAAAGGAATGAATAAATATTATAATCATTCTCTTATATATCTTACCTTCTAGGAAGTCTATAATCACCTGAAGGGCCGGATTAAATGTGCATTGAGTTGAATTGAATTGAATGAATTGAGAGACAGGTTAGGACTAAATTCCAAAAGGAAAAAAAATTAAGCCAGAACACATAAGAGAAAATATCTTATAAAATGAATTCTTTATTATTTTAACGAAAGTAGGTGGGGCAGGGCAAAGTGGTGGCGGGAAAATGGAAACAAATGTATTTGAACAATAAAAATTACAAATAAAAAAAAAATGCACCAAGATGTGAAAAAAACGTAGAATTTTGAAAGGAAACAGAAGATGCAGTGTGTTGTAAATTAAAAATACTTATACACCCTCAATCATACAAATTAACTAATGTGTTACATAATAAAACTTGAAATAATTCCTGTAATTTAATATCCCCAAAGGAAAAAAAATCCCACAAAAAAAAACCCCAAAAATGATGATGTGAAACCAGTATAAAGCTGATAAGTGTATTTATAAATTGGTTCCCTATATTTTCTATCATCTTGTCTCATCACTGACTTTGAGCTGTAATACTGCTCGTCCTTAAGAATTCTGCCATTATGTCTTCTGTGCAAAAACAGTAATACCTTTGCATTCTGTTATTTCCCAACATTTGTATTTTCCCACTAAAATAATAACTGTTTCTCAGGATGACAGCTGGGGTGGGGAGAGGTGAGGGGGTGGAGGGACTGAGCAAAAAGGAACAGGGACTCATGGACGTGGACAATAGTGTGGTGATGGCTGGGGGAGGGGATATAAGGGGACTGAATGGTATGGGAAAAATACAGTCAAGATTAAATTAAAAAATAAAATATCTGTTTCAACTTAAGTTTCAGTGTATCTTATATATTCTTTTATGTAGCACATTTCTTTTTTCTAA